GGCTTTGCATTGGCTCTGCACAAATGATCCCGCGTGCAACAGAGATCCCATGTTCCCAGCTGGCATAACATGGATAATCCCAATTATGTCCCTCCTCGTAGTGAGGTGAATGTTTGTAGGAGGATTTCCTCCTTCTCAGGCACAGGGGTGAGCCCTGGCCAGGTCCCAGGGCTGCACAATGTTCAGTTAGAAACTGCTCCTTGTTCTAGTGCACTCTGGAGGATTTTTGCTGATGATTTGAATGAACATTCCATAAAGCTCATGGCTAAATCCAGCCCTTATGCAGAAAACCAGGGATCCTACTGAACTGCTTTTTCCTCGGTGAAATTCAGGGGAGCTGTATGAGAACATCTAAGGGCAGATTCAGTTTCTGTTTGTAACAAAATGCTACCCTCTGATTCTGGGCCTGCTTTGAAATGTTTATTGTCAAATCCATGTATTTTTGGTTATATCTCATTAAGAACATAACACATCCTTGGAAAGTACATTCTGAAAGGGTACTAGGACAGGATTGGGATTATCGTTTGGCAGACACTTTTAACTAGGGGGAAATTTGAAATTCAATGTACAGTAATTTCAAAGCACAATTAATATATAGGCAATGATAAGGGGAACATGCAGAAGTGCACACTGGTAGCACTACATCAACAAATACACTTTTGGTGCTTAGTAATTAGGTACCCAAGATTGTTACATGTTCAACTGACTAAAGTGACAATTTGGAATTCCATCTAGTCCCATTTAACTGGATTTAGAATCTCCAGAGGAAAGCAAACAGAGAAGAGCGTGGAGAGGCAGCCACTAAAAGCAAACAGATCTTCTAAAGCCTGCCAGGACTCTGCAATAATATCCATTGCACAATAGCTTTTTCATATCCCTCAGTCTGGAAGGAGTAATGCCACGATTGTCACAGGCTGGGGGAGTATGAAAGCATACTCAGTTAGGTAGCAAGGTAGCTTTGGGTTGGGTTTTGTTGCTTTTTTTACGATGCAGTTTAATCAAAGGTGAACTACGAGTTTGCCACAGACAAGGCTGCCAAGCTAGAGGGTGTTACCAGTGTTGATGCTGTTCTAGCAGAAATCATCTTACAGATGAGATATTCTACCCACAACTACTTCAAAGTACAAAAAGAAGACGACTATAATATTGTAGAGCAGTCATTAAATACTTGTTCAGCTTAAAATAGGGAAAAGCTCTTGGAAGAAAATGTGGGGTTGTTTGCTGGTGGAGAGTTTAACTGGCCAAAAATGTTTACTGATGCTTGTCTTAAAGTTATGGGTAATCTTTTGATACAAACCTGATGTTACACTGTTCGTGTTACCTCCTTTAAATGTTGCTGCACACACCCTTCTCTCCCTGGACACTCATTTATTCTGCTGCTGTTGCCAGGAGTGCCATGGTTGCAGACCACATCTACTGGCTGATGGGAGGCACTGAGCAGCACACAAGCAAGCTCATCAAGCGGTACTGGCAGGTAAAAATTGGTAGCTCAGTGGGGAAGGAGGTGCCCATCTCACTGTTAAGACCAAAAGGAAGGACTGCTGCTGAAAAGGCTGCTGGTAAAGGTAGCTCTTGGGCCTCTCAGACAACAAGACACTGTGTAGTTCTACCGTATTTGTGATGAAGTAGAGTTTCTTGGACTAATTTTAAGGGCAAAATTCAGGGTTGTTAACCCTTGGCTTATGCTTCAATTTTATGGAGTGTTATAAAGTTTAGTTTTGGATACTGAATAGTCCCCCAAGCTACTTTTTGTGCAGTCTTCCCAGGTCAGTGACACTTTCCTTTTGCAATTGGTGTGGTTCTGATCTTCTGACACCTTTCCAAAGCCTTCAGCAGGTTTTTGAGAAAAAGGCTGTAGCAGATGGTCTCAGAAGAGCCTGAGGTGCTCTGTGAAGGATGGATAGGCAAGACCCCAGGCTGGAAAAAATCCTTCTGTGCAGAGTAGAGCACTGACTTCACTCATCTCTTGAGTGACACTTATTTTAGATGGCTGTTGAGTCACATCAGCACAAACTGAAGTTTAAGGACAACCCATTCTGCTCTGAGGAAAGCTCTCAGACAAATGTGGAGATGAGTGGCTGGTAGATTTTTTGCTGGGAGAGGCTTCTTGCTACGGGAGCTCATCACTGCCAGGGGTGTCCCAGCCTTCACCTCCAAGTCCTCAATGCAACCAAAATGCATTTCAGAGGGAGCTCAGCATTTGGTCCTCAAGACATGGAAGACCCTTCTTCCTCCCAGAGTGGACGTGGTCCTCAGGTCCTCCTTGTCCATACTAGGAACATTGTCTAGGAACTAGACAATCTGGAGTACTGCATACAGCTCTGGTGCCCTCAGCACAAGGAACATAAGGAGCTGTTCAGAGTCTGATTCTGATGCTCTTTATTTGGGTTTTATTCTGTGAGAACATCTGTGCTTTATATGAAGAGGTACAAAATACATCTGACATGAGCCTGAGTAGTAAGATCAGAATTTGGTCTTTTTGGTCTTCAGTCCCCTGGTAAATTCTTCCTTTTAAAAACTGTGTCTGGTTGCTTTCTTGTTGGTAAAATGGAATATATCTCAGTCCTGGGAGTTGCTGTATTTCTGTACTGCTGTGAGTGCCAAGTGCATCTCAGCCAGAGCATTACCCACTGGGCTATTGTTTGCAGTGCCCGTGAACTTGCTGATACACTTTCCAGCAGAGTTTCTTCTGTACAGAACAGGGTTTTTGTGTGTGTGTTTTTTGTGTGTCTGTTCTTGTTTTGTTTTCTTTTGTTTGTTTGTTTGTTTGTTTTTTACCCACTGGGTCAGATTAATTTAAAATCTTGAGTTCAGCAACAGGTTTTATGACTACAAGGATGATGAAGGGCCTGGAACATCTGATGGGCCTGGAACGTCTGATGAGGAAAGGCTGAGAGACCTGGGGCTGTTCAGTCTAGAGAGGACAAGACTGAGGGGGGATCTAATTAATGTCTATAAATACATGAGGGCATCAAGAAGGCAGGGACAACCTCTTGTCACTTGCGCCCTGTGACAGAACAAGGGGCAATGGATTTAAACTGGAGCCCAGGAAATTCCACCTTCTTTGCTGTGAGGGTGACAGAGCCCTGGGCCAGGCTGCCCAGAGAGGCTGTGGAGTCTCCTTCTCTGGAGACTTTCCAGACCCATCTGGACACGTTCCTGTGTGATGTGCTCTGGGTGTTCCTGCTGCAGCAGGGGGGTTGGACTTGATGGTCTTTGGAGGTTCCCTCCAGAAGGACATAAAGCATGGATGAAGAGACACTCAGTAAAGCTTGAACAAGTAGGCCTCTACTTTTTAAAAGATGTGCCTTGGGAAGCTGGATCAGTACCATTGTTTTGCTGCTGATTCTTTAGGGGCCCTGAACGACACGACCATGAAAGTCCATGGAAATACAAAAACCTAAAGTCACTTTTCTATCAATCAGTGCAGACTGGGAAGTGTTCCCACAGGGAGAAACGGGCACAGGTGCATTCATAGGCCCCCAAGCTCCTGGCAGGAGGACACACCTGCTATTTTCTGTCCTGATACTTCCATATCTGAGGCATTAACAGTGGATAATGCCTGTGGAAAGCTGGAACTCCTTCTCACACCAGGGGGCAGAATGTTATTACTGCCCTAGGTGGTCATGGTGCTACTAAACATGTTCAAAGCTTGTTAATTTTGCAGGGCTAAATATTACCTACTCCAGACTGCTTCCCTTCCAGTAAATGCAGGATAATGGGCTGAATAAATACAGTAATGTGAAATCAAACCAAATCCCCAATGACACCCTTGACATCCAGGCAGAGCACTCAGAGTAAAAGCACTTGGGTGCATGTATGGCAGCCCACCCAACACCTGCTCAGAAAAGTTCTAGCATTCCTATGGCATTTCTGCACACCCCACAGCAACAAACACAATGGAAATGCACTGACATTAAGAAGTGTCAGAGGAGCTGTTGACTAAAACCAGTAAAGAGAATCATAGAATCATTAAGGTTGGAAGGGACCTTAAAGACCATCAAGTTCCAACCCCCCTGCCATGAGCAGGGAACCACTAGACCAGGTTGCACAAAACCTCATCCAACCTGACCTTAAAAAGCTCCAGGGATGGGGCATCAACAACCTTCCTGGGCAACCCATTCCAGTTCCTCACCACCCTTAGAATGAAGAATTTCTTCCTAATATCTAACCTAAATCTGCCCTCTCTCAGTTTAAAACCATTACCCCTTGTGCTATCACTATCTTCTCTGATGAAAAGCCCCTCCCAGGCTTTCCTGGAGCCCCTTTCAAGTACTGGAAGGTGCTCTGAGGTCTCCCCAGAGCCAGAGACACAGACACTTGGCTAATTGGCACCCTCAGCTTTCCACTCTGGGGTGGTGGGAGCCGTTGCCAGCTACACAAACGGCTCAGGGAGGCACACTGGGTCTTGGATCATTTCACAGAGGTGGAGGCTTGACTGGAGAACAGTGAGGACTTGTTAATAAAACACTGAGCTAGTTCCATAGTGATACTTTCTGTGGATCACTTCGGGGCATAAGGTGATCTGGGAGTGTCATGGTCTGAGAAAATGTGCTTCATCCTGTCTCAAACCAGGACAGGGAGATTCATGCACCCTGTTAACTATAGGTGCACCTTTCCCTCTCGTGCTTTTCTGACCATCTCTATTAACCTTGTGGTGCTTCTTTCACCACTATAGATGTTGACATTTTTTGCCAAGTTATCTTAATGAAGCCTTGGGGGCCCCTCTTTCCAGAAAGGACTGCCCATGTCAGGAAGACAAAAATCTTCCTTAGCAATAGAAGCACCTGAAGCAATGCTGCATGAGTTCTTACCCAAACCCCATCCCAGGAGGAAGTGCAGCTCCTCCTCCCTTGCCCTGGTGGGTAAGACTACCAGGAAGGATGTTCCCAGGCTGGGACCTCCTCCTGGCAGATCCAGCACCAGTTCATTGGGGCCCACTGAATGTCAAATCCACCTCCCAGCATACGACCAGCACAGTGCATCCTTTGAGTAATTTTTAAGGAGTGACAAGGTTCATCAGTCTCGTGCTGCCTTCTGCACAGGATTGAATTTTACTCTCAACATAAATGGTGTTTAAAAACAATATTTAAATACTAGTATTCCATATAGTCACAGTGTCTGATTCATGCCCACCCAAGGGGTAATATGAGTGCTTAGTATTGTTTAACCACCTGCTGAGGACTGAATAAAACTCTCAGATGAAAGATGTGACCTTCAGAGAGCATGGAATCACTTTTTCTTTTCAACTAAAAGACAATTTATCTAATACTTTTCTCCTCATTGAAGACACAGGCTTGCTGCACAGAAAACTGTTCACAAATGTCCCTTCTCCATTACATTGATTTTCTGATGTGGACAGACATTGTTTTCTGCAACTGTTTTAAATTCCTCTCTAATTAATATTCAAGACCGAAAGATGTTATTTTTGCATGACTGTGCAGCTATTAAAGGGAAAATCTAATCTGTGAAAGTACTTATTTTTAGGTTTTTTTAAACTATCCCTTAAGCAACACAAAATGTGTGATTTCTTTGGCTTTTTTAGGTGATTCATGAAGAAGCCATGATTAGAGAAGTATCTTTCACAGCTATGTACACCCCGTTTGTGGCAGGAGGCAAGGCTGACAAAATAGAGAAGCTGAAGAGTATATTTGCTAAAAAGCACCCTGGTTATGTGGAGCACATCTATACAGGTAGCAACAAATTTCACATGCTCTTAACTGCTGTCTGCTGCTTTTGTGTGTGGCTGACAAAGAGTCTGAGGGTGTCTGAGCATGAGCCTTTAGATTTCTACACTTCTGGGGGTAAAATTAACTCCTGGGATTTGCTCTGTGCTTGCATGTGGCTTAGGTAATCAAACCAGTACAGAGGCAAAGCACAGACTTTGGACTGCAAATCCCCATAAAGACACATTTTATCCACAAAACCTGGTGTTTCAGCTGTTGAATTTCATTATTTCAGCTCATCTTTTGTTCAAAGGTAACTTGCAGGGCATTGCTGTGACAACGAGACCCAGGCTCACTCCCACCTCCGTGGATTTCCAGTGGTCACTGATGGTCAGTCCTGCAGCAGGGCCTGGGCTTCCCAAAAATACCCTCCCTCTGGGGGCCCTGCTGGGCTGATGGCCACTTTGAGAGCCCCTCAGTTGCAGGGAGGGGAACAGAAAGCCAGGTTTCCTGCACCCTGTTGAAGAAGTAGGATTCAGAGTGAAGAAGGGCTTTGCAGAGCCTGTTGTCATCTCCCGGCAGAGTGAACACAAACAGCAAGGCTGAGGTGCTCCCAGTCCCTATGAGAGTTACAGCCCAGTCAGAGGTGACAGCTTAGTCCTTGTAGCCCCTTGAGCCCCAGCCCTCAGCAGATGAATGAGGCTTCCAGAAGGATGGACACTGTGCCTTTGGGGAGGAAAAGAAAATCTATGTATTTGGAAAACAGAAACAGGAATTAGGAAATCAACTGTTTGCCACAAAACTGTGCAAATCTTTAAGAGAAGCAAACTTGTTTTGTTGATCTTTGTTTTGCTTTGGGAAACCAGTGTAAAACTGGATTGTGTTTTGCAAGTTGCAGAGCACCCAGGCTGTCACAGAGGTTGTAGAATCCCTGTCTACCATTTACTTGCTGATACGACTTTGTGGAGAGCTTCCAGGGACAAAAACATTGGCATTAAAAGGAGCATAAAATAAAAGCCCATGAATCTGATTTTTTAAAACATAAATTCGTATTTCATGTATTCTCCCCAATTTACAGCATGGGTGTGACTTCCAGGAGCATAAAAGCAGCAAATGTGTACAAGTGTTGCACTGAAACTCTGTGTTCATAAATCACTGAGTGACTATGAAAGTGTCACCAGTCATTTTCTCAGTCTTTCCAATAACAAAAAGGAAGGAGGGGCAGAAAAAAAAAGGGTAAAGGATCCCAGGCCTCCAGTACTTCAGTAGATTGTAAAACAGATAAAAAAGATCCAGTTCTGCCCTCAATTTTTATTTTTATTTTTTCAAAAGTCTATTGGTTAAAAGACTGACTTGAATTTTACACAGATTTCTCTGAGCGCAGGTTCTGGGATGACTGAAGCTTCTAGGGATGAATTGGGATAGACAGCCAAGAAAAAACAACAAAGCAATATGAGTGTCAAGATTTTGAGAGTGCAGTCATGTGAGAGGCCTCACCTGGGCAGGACCTCCCACACACCAGGATAGCTCCTCCAAAATGTGCACCTTATGGGATAAGGTGGGAAGTTTATAGACAGCTGATAATTGTGCATCCTATCTCTAAGAAACATTTGACATATTCATTAGTTTTCTGATAAATCATTTACATAAGTATCTGCCCATTATCACATGCCTGTTAAGTTCATTAGGGTCTTTTGGGGGTTGTTTACTTCGTCCTTGAGTCTTCCTCACAGGAACCTTTGGCCAGATTCTGTCTCTTCTCCTTTTGTCTCTGCTGACTCTGCAGTAGAATTGGTTACAGCAGACTTCTCTTGTCTCAGTTGAAGGGCTTCTTTCTTCTTCAAGGACCCTCGCATTTCACTCCCTAAAGGGGAGTAAGCTCAGGTAAGCTCACACAGAAGGTTTTTCCAGCTCACCAGCAGTACTCTCAAATGAAAGATCTACAGCCTACAAACAGTTAAGTATTTAAAGTCAGAGTCTGGTTGATGCTCTGCTTCCCTTTCCCCAGCCTGAATGCTGAAGCAACTTACTACAGCGTCAGGTGAAGTCAACCTGGTAGGGGTTTCTCAACTTACCTGTTTAGATCTGACCTAAAATCCCACTGCCCACCAAAAAGAAACATCAGGAGCAACAAGTTTATCTCACTGTCAGCATGGTACCACTGAGCATGGCCTGTACCTCACAGAGGTGAAATAACAAATATGAACTAAGCCTCATTTGAACAGTGGGTGTGAAATACCAGACATCTCACAAGCCTGTTATTCTAAACCACCTTCCTATTGTGTAACAATCATCCATCCAGTTTTAGTCCAAGTTCTGCTGGAGTGTAAGGACAGAATTGCTTTCAGAGTTTTCTTTATTCCCAAGGAAAAGGATCACATTTAAATCCAACTATGCAATGCAGTTTGTTGCAGGATTGAGAATCCATCAGAAGCAGAACATGGGGCAAGGGAAATATCAGCTCCACTCACCTTGATTTATATCAGAGTAAGTCCAGGGAGCTCTGTCTGGGGTTGTCCATCTGTCTCCGTGACCACACAGCCTGGCACCTTGGAAGCAGACCTCATTGAAAACAGAGCACTCCTTTGAAAAGTGACATTGACATTCAATCCAGGTTTACTTTTTGCAGTGGAAGGGGAAGGAGGAAAGGTCTGGTCTAGTTCCCTCGGCAAAGGTGGTTTGTACATTTGCTCTGAGCGTCCGTCCTCACCGAGGTCAGGGCAGGTGGACCCAGCTGATGCACAGGGGGGTTGGTGGTGGCAGTCACCAGCTCTGGACAAGCCACAGCACTGTCATATGCCAGCAGGGTGGGTCAGAAAGGCTATGCAGGAAGCCTGAGATGATGGTGGAGGTGATGGTAACAGCACAAATCTGTGGGACATCAAACATCCTAAGTTCAGGGAAAAACTAAAGAGCTTTTTTTTTTTTTCCAGTCGAAAGATCAGGATGTTGTGCTGCTGAAGTGTTGAGTTATTAATGTTTTGGATGATCAGCACTGAAAAGTGCATGAATGGGAAAAATGTTTTATCTTATGCAGCAGCAACATTTAAGCTTCTGATGAACAGGACTGCAAAGTCCAGAAATTCAAAACCCAGTTATAGCTGAATGAGCTGGTTTGGTCACCTGTGACTTGGCAAGCTTTCTGGGTTACATTTCAGTCTTTCTCAAACTTACTCTTTTTTCCTCTAAAAAACCCACTTCTGTTGCAACTGAAGAGAGACACGACAGTGGAAATCATTTTCGTTTCCCTATTCCAGATCCTCATGGATTTCACATCTTGCCCCAGACAGCTGGGAACCCACCCTTGCCTCCCAGGCAGTACTTGCTGACTCTGGGTTTCAGGAGTAAACATATTGGAAAAATCTTGGAAAGGTGGTCGGATAAAAAACTGCCAATCTTTTCAGGTATGTCAACTTGCTTAATAGCTGGGGTAGCTCAGGGGTGACCTCCGTGATCCTTGCTAAATGAGGGGAGCCAGAGGGTTTCTTGGGACCCATTTCTCTGTGCCTGCAGGTCTGGCTCTCCCCATCCTCCTCTGCCCTCCTCCAGTTTACCCATCATCTTGCTAGATCCTCTATGGAAAATGTATAGGAATAAACACAGTATTAAATGGTTTTGTGACTCCTTTTCCTAGACCGGAAAGCACCTTTCTGTCCTGTCACAGAAGAAGAAACAAAAGCCTTCTGGAAGAACACTGGGAAAAGGATCCTGCCAATCATGGATTTTATAAGAAGTACCAAATTAACTGTGAGCATGAAATTCACTTTCTGGTGTGTAGTGTGTGTGACAGCAGAAGGGGCTGTGCACGCGTGAATGACTTGTGCTTTCTGGTGGGTAATTCATTCTGCTCCTGCTCCTCCTATGTCCAGAAATGCTCAGCAAATTTCATTAGGAACAGAGTTCAATTGGGTTTTAGCTACTTTGTAGAAGTAGCCCTAATTATTTGGCTTTGGAGTCAGCTTATCTAAAATAAATTCACATGCGGTTTTCTCAGATCTTTTTGGCCTACTGTATTACATCCCTACTGCACATCACCACCAGTACTAGTCACTGTATTTAACACCCATAGTATCCATATTACACCAGGATCTCCATCAAGAGTTAATAATTGCGGCTTGAAGCATTTCTAGTGATTTTAGATCCTGATCCCTGTGCAGTGAGGTATGGGAAATAACCTTCCAAACTGTTACAACCATGTTGAAGGTGTATCAGTTAATTCTACTCCATACTTTTCTGCAATCATGCACACAGCTTTTTAGGACCATGGCTTTTGATTAGCACAAAAGGTCCAAAATCAAATCTGCATGTAGACTAGATTGTTTGAATGCAATTCTTAAATTATTGTCCTGAAAATAAGTGGAAGAAGTCTCTCCTCCCCAGAGGAGTAAATGCTGAGATTTTATGCAAGCTCTTGGTGGAATTGCTGTGTTCACATGCTTAAAATTTACCATGTGCCTGGAGGACCAGGGACCACCTCTGCAGGTTTTAGTCCCTTGGGGTTCTATATTTGAAAACCGTGGATTTGCCTGGTCTGCAAACAAACATGAGCTGACACACTGCGTGGTTTCCTCAGCCTCTTCACTGAAACTCCAAAAGCAGTCCATCAAAGTCAGATAACGTTGAATAGAGGGGATTATGGAAAAGCCATTGAGAAATGAGGCAATTTCATTCATGTTTGTTATCTGCTGTCTTCCCTTCACATATATTGTGACTGTGGACTTGTTTTTCTAGCACTATGAGAGAGACTGTGCAAAGAAAGTCCTTTCTTCCCCTATATTAAGACTGTCAGCAGCGTTAATCTTAAAGGCACTGGCTGCCCTATTACTCACAGTACTACCAGCACAAATACATAGGATGCTAAGCCTCGAGGCACAGAACTCAAAGGAGGAGTGTTTCCTGGGCCTCTCTTCTAACCCACTTCATGTTGCTGAACAAACAGGACAGTCGCTGCCCCTGTTCCCGTGGGATAGAGAAGCTGCATCTCGCCAGCTGCCTCGGCCGCTTGCAGAGGGAGGGGGAACAGTCCCAAGTGATCCATCAGGCTCTGGCTGAGCTGGCAACAGTTCCCTACCTGCAGGACCTCAAAAAGAGGGATGCCAGACTAGTAAGGATCTTATTTCTCATACTTGGTTTGGGCTTTAGGGGCAGGGAGCCAGGGTTGGAAGGCTGTAAATCTTTTATTTGGGCTGTTAGGTTTTCTGCTGGGGAAGGGAGGGAGCTCACATAGATGCAAATTTTAAGCATTTCATTTTAGCAAAAAAACAAAACCCAAAACAAAGCAAAAAACCAAGTCCCTCTGCAGTCCCTGCATTTAAATGGTGTCCAGCTCCAGTTCACTAAAAGCTCTGGGTTTTCCCAAAGCCAGTCCCTTGACATTTGTTTGCCATCCTGCAGAGCTCCTGAGCTCAGTAGCATTAAATCTCCACAGCAGCTTGCTTCAGGGGAGATGAGCAGTGCCCTGCAACTGCAGGAGGTGGTTGCCAGGTTTTGAGGTCTGCCCTTCAGGTAAGAGGAAACTGTTAGTCAAAGACAGTCTTCTTTTGATGCAAGTTTTCTAGCATTAAACTTCAGCAGACCCACATGTCAAGGCTGACTAAAGGGTCTTGAGTTATAGGTACATATTCCAGTGTCAGGTTTTTCCCCAGGGTACAATATTTTCAGTACATCACACCTTAAGCACAGGCTATTACACTTGCTTGTATCTTGTCATGTAGTAATTATAAGCCTGACCTCCCTGCAAAGCTTTTTGGGCAAGGCTCTAGGCCACCCAAGGCAAAGATCTTCATTCTCTTAGGGGCAGGTTTGGGTACAAGGAGGGTCTTTGCCAGGAGGTTTAAGGGAGAGACTGTAAATCTTTCCATGAGACACGTAGACTCAGCTTACTGAGCCCAAGGTAAAAATATGTTTTAAAAGAATAAAGGAAGAAAATCTCTACCAGTCATGCTGCCCAGAGAACAAAAACGTAGTGATTCAGCCTTGATTTATTTTGCTTTGTCCTGTCACCCTCCTGTAAAATGTATCTTCAGACTGTGTGTGCCAATGGAAGCTCAGATGCTCTGTAGCTGGAATATTGCAGTAAATATCAGACACTCTGGTGTTAAGGGACAATAAGGGACAAGACTTGCAAGCAACAAGTTGTAGAGTGGCTTCACCAGGGAGTGACTGATGGGCTTTACCTTTCCTGGTGGTAACAACCCACATGGCACATGCTCCTCTTGATGCCAGTAGGGACCATCTCCCCACCACACAGAAGCTGCATCAAGCACAGAACTGTTTGACCAGTTCTTCAGAAGGAAACATTCCAAAAAAGAGCAGTGGGGAGATCCTTCCCTTCTTCCCAGGCTGGTTTCTCCTCTGCCTGGTTTGACCCAGGATCTGTGCTTTGCCCATTCTGCCCTTAATACCCTTAATCTCTGGGCTGTGTCTATTCTGCATTCATAGAGGGAGATTATCGGTCATAAAAGTCTTGTGATGGAAAATTCCTGGCAGGTTCTTGGTTCCTAAAGTCAGAGATAGGAATTTGCAGTTTGTTTTTTCACGAATACTGATGCATGACTTAGAAATGGCTGAAGCAAAGATGAGGTGACACTGCTCATGGTGTGAAAGAAGAGTAATAAAATCATCATTGTATAAATGTTTTTGTTTTTTGTTTTTTGTTTTTTTTTAAATTAGGGTTTAATCTGTGTGTTTAGAGAATACACAGTTTCTGTGTAAATTCCACACTGATCATGTTTACTTTGGTGCCACAGCTCCAGTCACTGATGGCAGATGCCATGGACACCCTTGAAGGAAGTTGTGATGGAGAACGTGTGTGGAGTAGAATTCAGAAGGTAAAACCCGTGGCAAAGGGCAGTGGAAGATATTGTTCCTTGGGGAGCAAATGTCCACCTGAATATATGTGTTCAGAAGGTAGAAAAGGAAGTAGGTGCCATGTGAAACCTGACTCTGTGCCTCAAACCCTGTTAATACTCAGGTACTAGCCCTGCTGAGTGGCACTGAGGAGAAGCAGACACAACCTCACCCATTTACCGGATTTAGCCTGGGAATAAAAGAGCAGAATTACTTTGAGAAGTGGCTCTGCCAGTGCTGCAGCTCTGTGCTGATGTCTCAGCATCACAGCACAGGCTGTGCCATCAAGGCCAACAGCCTCTTGCTGTCAGGACACACACGGAGGCTTCATCCTTCCCATTCATTGCTCTGGCTTAAAAAAATGGTGTCATTTCCTTCCGGTGGGACAAACAAGTTTGCTTTTCTTGTCCTATTTCTCATTGTTGTTCAGCCACGAACACAGAGATCTCTCTCTCCCAAATTCTGCTCAGCATAGACACACACACCCAGCATCACCCCATTGCTTTGCTTCCCCTTTGTGCACTCACAGGCACAAAACTGAGGGCAGACAGTTGAAACACCAACACCATGTCTCTGTACTCTTGAAGAAGTCCGGGGGTTTTCTTGGTGTTACCTCCAAGGCTTTTTACTCTGCCCCTCCCCAAATCAATGACTCCCACCACTGATACCTTCTACAACATATCAGCAATGCAAGAATTTGAAGTACGAAGGAGAATTTGGGAGCAATGTAAACCAAAAGCAATATTAAAGCCAATACCACAAAATAAACGCTACTGAGTACCTGGTTAGTTTTCAAATTTCTGTCCGCAGGCCCCTTCACTTCTCTGCTTAGTTTGATTCCAAAGCATCTCGAGGCACCACCTAGGTGTGTTGTGGACTAAGCACGTAATTTGTGTAATGACATCTTCTGTTACTGTTCCTTTCCTCTTTCCGTTTGATCTCCATTCTCTCCAGTGATCCAAAGTGGAAATGCTGTCGCTGCAGTGCTGGGAGTACCTGGGGAGGCAAATGCTCAGGATATCTTGAAAGGAAGATGTCACAGCAGTGGGAGATTAAAAATAGGTTGAGGCCCAGTCCTGCAGAGCTCTTCACTTGGGCTTCAGTGCTGCTTCAGCCTACAGAGGGGCTGCAGGGTTCAGCCATATGACTCGAGGATTTGGTCTCTTTTCAGAACTTACTTTTAATTTAGTAGATAAGTGGTTCTTGCCACAGCAATGTGGAACACTCATTTTTCTCCTTGTGCTGGTTTTTGGCACATAAATGCCATAAGCCTCTGTTCCCTTGCCTTATCAGGAAAAACCTGCCTGAGATTCATTTCCTCATCATCCCTTCCTTTTAAAGTGACTGTTTTTCATGGCCATTTAAAGACAGAGTTGTGATAAATTCCTGTTTTCAATGTACAGGTTTCGATGAAAGACTCAGTAAAGTAACTGAATCCAAATGGGAAGGGACAAAAAACAAACAAACAAACAAAAGAAATGACAAAATCAGGTACCACTACTCCAGCCAATGATATGAGAAGTGCCTTCATGTGTTGTTCTTCCCAATGACAATTAGCTTTGAAATAAACTAATTGCAAAAGTTTATTTAGGCTTTTATAGAAGGGAAGGGACATGCTTCTGACAGCCCTTCTTTCTCTTTGCAGATTGGGCTAATTGAAGACTACTTGTTCCAAGCAGAAGACGATTACTTACAGAAGAAAAGGCTGAGAAGAGACAAGACGGTGGAAACGAAAATGAACAGAACTCACCCAGCAACATGAGAGCCTTGACAACACAGTGCAGTTCCTTGCCAGCTCTGAAGACATGGCCACACAGCAAACAAGAAAGTTAACACATTAGATATTTGATAAGTAGATCAAGAAGAGCCACTTCTCTATGTCATGAGCCTTCCCCTCCCTGTGGGGTGTCTTTAGCACCACACTGCTGCAGGTCCTTAGTGTTAATTGTCTGCAATAAATGTCTGTGAAAGGCTTAGTTTAAATTGCCTTGTTTATTTAAATAGCAACACCCAGCCAAAGAGAGGCTTGTATTTTCTGCTCTGAGAATACTGTCCACCCAAACTCTGCAAGATCTTTCTGATTTGATTATCAAACAAGAACCATGGAAAACAGGGATCCCTCCACCCTCTGTGGAGAGGAATTCAGCCTCGTGTTGCCTTCTTTCCAGATTCACACCTTAGACTATGGATATTGGGACAATCTCTGGGTGAGAAGTGGCATCCTGCACCTTACAGCTGGGGAAACAACAAGTGCAAGAAAGTACAGAAAGGAAGTACAGAAAGAAACTGCAGAAAGAAATAAATGGGAGGGAAGGAGGGAGGACCTCAGCTGTTGCCCCGTGTTTAAGAATGTGGCCTCCTTTTTGTTCCCTAAGGATGGTTTTCTTCCCCCCATTAGATGGTAACGGTGTTTTTACATTTGCAAACACTTCAGGGAAGAGAACAACTGCACCTGCCTTCTCCAGTGCAGATCTCTTGGTGAAGGCTCAGCAACACGCACAGCACTCCCCTCGCAGCAGCCTGTCCTGTAGGCACATCTTACATGTCTCCAAGAAAGCCCAGGTTCCCAAATCTCCTGGGACCTGTTGCCTGTGAGCAAAACATCACACCTCCTTTCCTGCCAAGACCACCTTTGTCAGATGACGTTTGACAGCCATCCCAGCTGGCACATGCAGGCTGGCATTTCCCTTCTGTTCACTGTGTTGACTTTGCAAGCAAATAACCTTACTTCATAAACCCAGAGTTCAGTTCATTACATTTTCTCATTTAAAAGTGACTTTAAAACAAAAGATAGGAAAAAAAAGGAAAAATCCACCCCCCAGCTCTAAGATTTATTTAAAAACCCAGGACCTCAAGGGTATTTAGCCACTTAATCCAGTTATGTATTTATCACAGATAGGAGTGTAAATCCTACAGATTTTTAGCTGCTAGAGACCATCTTCCTAGGGTCTCATAAAAGTTTATTTTTAAAACTAAAAGAGAACTGTCAACAGCTTTGAGACGCCTTTGTTCATTGTTAATGGAATAAGTAAAAAGAAATCTTTTTGAGAAAATCTGGGCTGGCTTGAGCTCCTTGAACTTGTGGGCCAGAGAAATGAAGAACTGTTGCCCTTTGGAGATGGCTTTATTTTGCTATGGAGTTGGTTTTGTCAGGTGAAGTTTTATGACATAAAGTGGCAACCATCCATCTGTGATGAGCAGACAGACACTAAATCAGAGCTGCCCACAGACCATCAATTCACAGTCAACACAGACTTTGGTAAATCATGAGGCTTTAAGCAAATCCTTTTAATTTGATGCTGGCTTACAATACTGCACTATTTAATGCAAAATTTGGTATTTTCACCTGGAATGAGAAATAAAATGCAGTGGAAACTAGTGATATTTGAGAACAAAAGGGGGAACGTGCCAGTGAAAAACAAGAGTTGGTGCAACACAAACAAGTTGTCCCATGTGACATCCTGGTCTCCAAGCTGGAAAAATATGGGTTTGGTGGATGGAGAAATCGGTGGATAAAGAGCTGGCTTGATGGCCACACCCCAAGAGTGGCTGTCAATGGGTCCATGTCCAGCTGGAGGCCAACGACAAGTGGAGTCCCTCAAGGATCAGTGCTGGGACCAGTCTTGTTTAACATCATCAGTGACATGGCGAGTGGCATTGAGTGCACCCTCAGCAAGTTTGCTGATGAGACCAAGCTGTGTGGGGCAGCTGACATGTTGGAGGGTAGGGATGCCATCCAGAGGGACCTTGACAGGCTGGAGAGGTGGGTCCATGCCAACCTCATGAAGTTCAAGAAGACCAAGAGCATGGTCCTGCATCTCAGATGGGGCAACTCCGAGCACTGATACAGGCTGGGCAGAGACTGGCTTGAGAGAAGCCCTGAAGAAAAGGACTTGGGGGTACTGGTGGGTGAGAAGCTCGACATGGGCCATGAGTGTACACTTGCAGCCCAGAGAGCCAGTTGTATCCTGGGCTGCATCAAAAGAAGCATGGCCAGCAGGCCCAGGGAGGGGATTCTCCTCCTCTACTCTGCTCTCATGGGACCCCACCTGGAGAGGTGTGTCCAATTCTGGAGGACCCAACGCAAGGACATAAAGCTCCTGGAGAATGTCCAGAGGAGGCCACGAAGGTGATTGAGGGCTGGAGCACCTCTCCTTGGGAAACACAAGGTTATGAAACAAAGAGCTGGAGAAGGTGTCTAGAGCTGAACTATTACTTTTAACACAACACCAGAGGAAGACGACGAGATGCATGACATCCAGTGGCAGGGATGAAAGGAGGAGGTGCACTAATGGCACCCACTGCCAGGGACTAAAGCCACAGTTGCTGTTGCTCTCTCCCTCTCTAGTCCAGGAGAGGAACAGTGCTCAGCAAATCATTTGCAGTGCCTTGGTCCTTGGAGAGCCTGTGCCAGCATCTCCCTCTGCCTCCATGTCACACCCCAGGGGAGAAGAAGAAAAGAAAGGGTACATCAAGCTTGCCTGCAAACTGGACCAGAGAGATTGCAAGCTCCTGAGAACAAGGGCTGTTCTACAGTTCATTCTAGGTGGCCTCTCAGGAATTAGCATATTAACACCTCTCAGCAATACACCACTTAAAAGGAAACCCTCCTAATAAGAAATCCATAGAGCAATCCTGAGTCTTGGCTCCAGAGGTATCTTAATCAGGGGTGGTTGCCCTCCCAGTTCCAGGAGGACTGTGGAGGCCCAGAGGCAGGTCCCACACAGACATTCCTCTGGCCAGGTCTCCAGCTGAATGCTTGAGCCTGTCGTTCTGCTGGAGGAGGGCAGAGAGGCTTTTCAACTTTGAAAAACAAGTTCTTTAACATGAGGGTGGTGGGTCACTGGAACAGCTGGCCTCAGGAGGTGGTTTCTGGAGACCCTGTTCCTGGAGACATTCAAGGCCAAGCCTGACGGGGCTCTGAGCAATCTGGTCTAGCTGGAGATGTCCCTTCCTTCTGCAGGGGGGTTGGACTAGATGACCTTTAGAGGCTTCTTCCAACCCAAGGCCTTCTATAATTCTATGAAAACATTTCTTGCCTTTGGAAAATACCACAACAAGATGATACCACCAGGTTAAGGCCTTTTACCTTCAGTTGGACTTGAATAACTCAAGCTTTCAAATTCTTGTTCAGCCACATAGCCTTATCTGTCAGTCAGCAAAGGCCTCTCTTTCCGTCCTGGTCCCAATTTAATAGGGGTTTGTTGATTCCCCTCCTCCCCACTCTGCCTCTTCTGTCTGAAACTTCAATTGACATGGACATGCTGCTTAGCTGTGGTCACTTATGTCCGTGCAGGTCTCCACCTGACAAACTTGGTCTCTTCCTCTGTCATCAGTAGCCATCAACAATTGAGATACATGAAAGCCTTGCTTTTAGTGCATTCTTCAAATAATAAAGAAATGTCTCATTTAAGCTTGTTTCCTTCATGAAAAAAACAGACAAACAAACAACAAAACTCCACCATCAAGTTATTTGCAAACTCTAACATCTCCAAATGAGACCAAGCGTGGCACCAAAAGTTACAAAGAAGATAAACTCCAGCCTAGAAACCCTTGCCAGTTACTATTTGCTTAGGTCTTTTGATAAACACTGCTGAGGTCCAAAAAACAAGGGTGATAATATTTCAACTGATACATTTTCCAGGTTTAGATTCTTTACAAACTGGAAACAAGGAAAAGATAGGAAATAAATACAGTAAAAGGAATTTACATCTTTAGTCTTCGTATTTGTTTAGACCAAAGTAAAAGATCTCCTACCATCCCTGTGCATATTGATAACCTCAACCAAAAAAATACACTTCAAACCTCTTCCTTGACTCCTGGTTGAGCTGCAACTCACCTGTCACCCTGCTTAATTGGAATATAAGGTGACATAAATCTGGCTGTGGGGATGTTTTTATAGCAGCTCTCATCACGGGGTCCTGGCCCCCAGCTGGGCTTCCTGCAGGCTACTGACACAAACACAGGAAAGACTTGATCCTGAGTGATCTCTTGCATCTTGGAGCAAATTCACAAGAAATCCAAGGCAACAGATCCAGTCAGAAAGAGGACCCACCTCCAGACACAACAGCTGCCCAGCCTGATCTCTGCATGGTACAAAATGCACTGGCTGCGTGCAGGTTGCGGCATTTCAGCTTGAAAAGGTTTTAACCAATTTCTCCTGTCATGCTTCTCTCCTCTTGCACTCCCAACAGCACAAACAGAAGAGGGAATATGGCCAAATATTTCCACGATTTACTCATTTCTCGGCATCATTTCCTAGGGAACTCCAGTGATCCCCATCCCATTGTGTGGTGACACAGAACCATAAATGCCAGGTTTGAAGGGACCTCCAGGATCACCGGGTCCAACCTTTCTAGGCAGGAGCACAGTGAGATCAGATGGTCCAGCAGCCTGTCATTCTGAGCCCCCAAACTGTCAATACTCAATGGGAGAGATGTACTAAGGGTACTTACTTGAATTCGAGTTATCCCCAACACTGGAAGAAAAAGGAGGCAGTTTACAAGTGCTTCTTCACTGATGTAGCAATGACAGTGCTGAAATTGGTTACATCTTGACATATGATTCAGTTGCCTTTTCCTGATCCATTGAGGCTGGATGTGCATCTCCTCTGCTGCTGCTGGTGCCTGAAATTCCTCTGAGGCTGGAATCACAGGGTGACTCTGGCTCTTCAGTCTCAAGGCAGCACAGCAGCAGGGCTGTCCTCAGTGACCAGAATGCACAGAGTTTTTGGAGTGCCCCTTTACTGCTTTTACTGGCAGTAAATCAAAAAGGGGACAATCTCCAACAAAAAGTACTTCACTACGAAGATATAACAGGAGTTTAACCTCTATGACATGGTTGTAGTAGTAGCTGGAAATTCATCAGCCTATTTGGAAGCAATTCAAGTCAGAGATGTGGAGGTGAGCAAAGTGGAAGGGAGTGCAAAGGGGCACTGCTTGACTAGTGGGAGGTGTCCCCGACATGCAGGGGAGTTGGAACATGATAGTCTTGAAGGTCTCTTCCAACTCCAACCATTCTAGGATTCTATGATGCTTTGACTTGAAATCTGAATTTATCCACATTTAGGCAAAGACAGGAAAAATAAAAGGAAAACATGTTTTATTTTGTTTTCAGAATTTACAGCTTGGTTAAGGAACTAAACAGACTCCAGAAGCCTTGAGGTACAAAGCTGGATCCCTGATCTGCAGATTACATGACGCAAATGACATTCATAAGAACGGCTGGAAAGTGGTGGTTTCGGTCAGGATAGAACCCACTTTCTTTTCCATCCTTTTCATCTCCAGTTCCGTTCCTTCTAAGCAACTGCAGCTTCTGAGATGAGCAGCAGGTTTTGCAGTCCGTGTCTGTTTCTAGGCCTGGTCACCTGCCCCTGCGTGTCAGGAAGGAGCCAGGAGCAGAGGGGCTGGTCCAGCAGCAGAGAGGCCAGCGCCAAGGGAGCTGGTCCCATCTCCTGGGACGGCAGCTCCAGGGGCAAAGCAGCCCAGGCTCACGTCACCCAGCTGGGTGTTTGTTCAGGGCCTTCGGGGACACTTGTGCCTGCTTTGTCACGGGAGCCCTTGGGACCCCCCTGCTGCTGTTTGGGGGTGCTGGGGCCTTGGTTCCCCAGCAGTGATTGGCCGGTTGGCAGGTGTGGCTGTGATGCCATCACAATGAGGGCAGCTCTAAAAGGCCCAGCAGCAGCAGCTGTGCCCCAGTGCTCCTTGGCCAGGTGAGCGTGCAGGCAGGGGGAGGCCGGGCTGGACCCGGGCCGGGGCAGAAAGGCGGCCCCCGGGGGGTGGGTTCTGGCCCTGCCCCGAGGGCCCAGCTGCTGGCGGGAGGGCCCCTC